TTACTATCCTCGCCAATAATTACACCATCACCCATAATATTGTCCTCGCCAATAACTAGATCATCAGCCGCAATATTGTTTCCGCCAATATTCCCATCACCACCCGAAATGAAGTCGCTGCCACCTGAGCTTGTACCTTCTCCACTTGAACATGTACCCCCCCACCCAAGACATCAGTATCGGCAGCCAAACAATTGCCGTCTTCACCTTGAATCTCTGCGCTATCACCGCTACCATGGACACGGATAGAATAGTACTTGATGAACCTTTCCACCCACGTTTCTTGGGAATGACGGTTGGGAATATCTTGCTGGAATTCTTCCAACTGCCGGCAATAGACCAACAACTCTGAGAATCTGCAAACACCTTTTTCTCGAAGGCAAACGTGAAAGTACCTCAGTACTATACCTTCGTACGGTCTCATTTTCCTTGACGGCCCAGCCCCCTTACGTCGGGTGCGATCTGAGCCTGTAATAGAATCCAAATTTTACCAGTATCGCTTCTTCCAGTCACGCAGCGTCTGGGGCGAAACTCGTAGCTGCCGCGCAGCTTCTTCGAGGCTCCACTCAGAACGTTCCTTCCACTGCTTCAGGAGCGCGATTCGCTCCTTTTCCGTCCTCTGCACATTCACCCGTTTCCCCATGCTTAAAATCCCTTGCGTTAAATCTAAAATGGGGCTATCTCCCAACCAGTCACAATGAGTGTCAGATTTATCAGAATAATTCTGAGGCAACAACCTAACGTGATTCTGAGACCACGAGCTAAAATGAGAACACGAGCTAAATTGAGACCACGGGCTAAGGTGAGTCTGAGAACACGAGCTAAAGTGAGACCAGTAGCAAAGGAAAGTAAAGCGAAATTTGGCATACCCTACCTGATCTTACTAAGCTTGAATATGGTAAGTACTAGCTCTTACTTGGTGACAATTGTAGCATGCTATTTTATAACCACAGATGTAGTAGATATCAGCAAGATACGTGATCATCACGGAACACTATTGCACCTAAGCCACATCATAACAACTATCAAAACGCTGTTTCTCAATAACTCAGAAACGTAGAAGACCATGAACAGGTGCTATTAGATAATCTTGAGGGAAGTATGTGCTTCCTGGTAAGCCTTTCTTCTTATTGCCATGTACGTAACCTGCTGAATCTACTCACGTAACCTTGGCGAGCGTTGACTAGTATAGATTGCTCGACCAATGCAGTGAACAAACTTTGGCAATATGGATAATTCGATTCAGACTATGGTGTCAGCAAGGTGCTGGCCAGCACCACGACGTAGCCATGCAATTACCGAAGAAGAAGAAGAAGAGCTAAAGCACCAGCAACATGAAGCGACTTGCATCGACGACGCCTCGCCGCAAGCTAGAAACCTTTCGAGCCACACAGATGGTGCTGTGATATCGACGCTACGTTGAGAGAATGTTACGCTGGGAAGCTGCGCTTCAGATGATGTTCGTAGACTTCCCGAAGCTGGCCTTCAGGGGCATCGTCTGCGCGCGCATTATCGTCTCGTTTCTCTTTCTGTACGTGACGCTGCAAGCGCTGGCGATTCGCTCAGGTTTCTTGTTCAATGTTGGAGCGGTTCTGGCGAAAATTTGAGCGCGGTCATCACGATGCCATTAATACAGCGGTCTGCGTGTTGGAAAGCTAGATATACCAATGATAAACTAATGAAAGAATAAAATTAATAGCTCTGCCATACCACAAGCCCGTACTAAGCTATTGTAATCGCTTGTGTGTGCTACTCATTAAAAGAAAGGTTATCAAACGAAAGGTACAAGCTCATGTAACGCTTTAGCGTAGCAAATATTGAATATCTCAAGCAGGAGATGCAAGCGGCGGTCGCCCCACCTGTCTTCGTAAAGATATTTCTTCTTCCGGGAAGACAGTGTGTTGTTGTTGATCTGGAGGCTGTATCGGCGACAGTAGCGACGATATGTCGATCCTTGAAATATTGGATGAGGCAGTAGATTCTTGAATGCTGCCACTCGTTGCCTCATGAATGCTGTCTGCAGAAAGAAATTCGTCACCCACTTGAGTTTGCGTCCATCCACTTGCCGAATCCGCAAAAACAGCAGCACTAGTCTCTGTGTGTACATCCATCCGATTATTTTCTCCCCCATAAGTGTTTGCAGCAACTGGCCCGTCCAAATTGACGCCGTCATCCGTGAATTCACGTAAAAACGTCTGAACCGATGCACTCAGAAGATCGAAACTCAGCGAGGAGTCACTGCTGACATCCGAAACGGGGCAGCTAAACACAGTCTCCATAGCGTGATCACTGCTTTGCAGTAACGAGCGAGCTGCATGTTTTCGTTTAGCATCGCGGGCACGGCGAATTCTGCGATCCTTGAGTTTCACATGAAACCCTCCAACGCCAGGTACACCTAGCCCGATGGCCATGCGTCCACATATGACATGCGCACAAGATAGAAATTTTTTGTAGTACGCACACCCGCACTCAAATGCAGAAGTGCTAACTAACCATCCTGGCGGTGGCATACCAACATGGTGCGCTCGTCGGACTGACCATTTCACCGCTGAGCGATAAAACGTTGATGCTGACTTTTTCTCGTCGTCCGTCAGGCACTCCGCAGAGCTAAATAAACCCACTTCCGGCGCTATATCTACAACCCACGAATCACCAATTGCGGCAATGTTTGCAATGTCCTCGTTATCACGTCCAGTGTCTCCAACATATCGAATTCGAACTTTTGATTCGTCACGGGTTCGGAACACTGCAATTCGACGAATTGAAACAAGTACTTTGGCTAACCGTTTGGCTTCTTGAGGGGGACCTGGTAACGAACCCGTTGCTGGCGTAGGTGCGCAAATGGAGTAGTCTTCTACAATCGTGAGCAGCTTTATCATTAAGCGTCTAGTATCCACCGCTTTCCGTTGCGTGTAGCGTTTGATGCTGGCGTTAAAGACCTCACACGGGTTGTTTGTCGTTGCAAACCCACCAGGAGAGTGGTAGATTTGCCAACGCCAGAACCGACTTGCTATCCATTGGTTATAGAAATAGTTAACAAAGTCCAGCAAACGAAAATCACGCTCCCAGTCACTCATCACTTGGTTCCAGACAGAAATCAAATCTTCGTCACAAAGTGTATAGTGCATATCTAGAATTCCACGGTAAACAACTGCCCGGGTCGAATCGGGCAAGTGCCGGATGCGTTTTCGAACGTTATATAGCACGTGAAAAAAGCACATCAAGTACTTGCAGCTATTAAATACAGCAATCTTTGATAGTGCGTTTAGCTGGGCAGCTTCGGCATCACCCATAACAGCATCAATTCTGAGTGGGGTTTGTGTGTGTGTCTGAAAAAGCCTCGTAAATGTTCCAATAGCCTTGAAGTACTCATTTTCCGTGCGCTGGCTAACAATAAATAAGGCACCTAGGTGGTACACACGGCGCTTATCAGTGAAGGCACACGTGATGACAGGGTACCCAAGATCACTGAGTTTAACAGTCGCGTCCAGATGAAAAATTAGGAAAGGTTCCGCTCGTTGTAGTGCACGAATGCCTCGCAGCAATTTCATCGTAGTGATGCCCAAAATCAACGGTTGCTCGTCCTCTCCATTTCCCACAAACGGGAAACCGTTTTCGTCTTCAACGTTTCCAAATACGAAAGCAGTCTCAGGATCAATGTCCGCCACATAAGCCTTAGAATGCACCAGCTCCTTCACTCGTTGTATTGAATTTTTGCTTCCTTGAAGCCAGCGTATGTACCTAACGCTGCGTTGTACCTGGGCGTACGATGGGTAGCCCAGGGCTGGTTTCGGGATGTCAGGAGCTCGCAGGAGGTTACTCCAGATTAGCCGAGGTGGTACTGCATTTTCGTCCATTCGGTGGATGTAGGCTTTCATTTCGGGTGTAACCTTAGGGCGTGGTGGCACGGCACACTCAGTGTCGCCGCGTAGGTGAGGCTTTCCGTTGCTAATAATGACCCAAATAGATGCTGTAGGGCAGTGACGGACCTTCCAGCGAACGGGGCACTTTGTACATGACACGCTATTCTCACACGTTACACTCTTGCAATGAAGGTGTCGCTCGATCATTTCATGATCACCCGGACAAATTGAGCAGACAAGTGGCCTCACACCGCGCACTACCGAGCAGCAGAAGACTTGCCATCGGTAACTAACAAATTCAGCCTCAGTTCTGCATTGTATTACCCTTGACCACGCTTGCGAAGGGGGCATCGAATCTGCGATGTGGTGGTTCAGTGTCTGGAGATGTGGCTAAACTGAAATGGGTGGCGGGGTACGCTGCACGTGACTGTGACGCATGGGCGTCACGGCAGTCCACTCCTTGTACGCGTGTCCTCCATGGGCCAGAAATCTGCATATTAATGGACATTTTGGCTTCTTTGTGCACACTGTTGTCATTTCGTGTCTACTGACGGCTGATACATGTCTATTGGCGTATCAAAATATGTCTACTGACGACCTAGACTCTTGCACACACCACCACGCACTGCCGCTGCACGCGGGTGCCCTTCGCCGACTCTCGTCTCCTCAAAAGCTATGCGTGCCGCCTCGAACCTTCCTGTCAGATTCCCGGGTCAGACCTTGTGAGCAGTAAGACCGGGTTCCTTACGCCCGCGGAGCGTTTTCCGCTCTCGGTTCTTCGTTCTCACCTTGTTCTTCACTGAGCTTTTCAGCCGCCAGATCTGCCTGCTTCAACCGATAATCACGCGTAAAATGTCCTTCACGACCGCAATAGAAGCACTCCGTCCCTGGGCGAAGCACGCATGGTGCACGCTGCGCCGGTGTCTGTCGCGCCTGGTACCGCTCCATAATTTGGAGCGAGCCTCTCTCGTCGCATCCGCCGGATTAGCCGTACCCGTAGCGCCAAACTTGGCCTCTACTTTCAACGTCTTCGCCGGACGCCAGAAGTGTAAATCTCCGCCGGGTTTCCGCCCACGCGTTCCACTTTGATCACCGATGACTGTTTGAAATTTCATACCGTCGCTCGTACCGCCTGCTTTACCGGTAGGTACCAGTGGAAACCCTGGTGGAATCGCTTTCCACCACTGGCTCCACCGGCCGATACTTGCCTACCCTCATTATCGTACCGGGGATGCTTCTGTGGGGCACCCCACATTGATCCGTAGCCGGTCACAACACTCCGCGATTCGCCGTCAAGTTCCAACTGCTCCTGCTCGCCGCTCCCGGCCGCCACTGTCAAAGGCCCGTGCCCTTGCGGCGCCTCACGCTCGTCTCAGCGCGCCATCACCGTCTCAAGCTCCACACTGTAGCCTTCGCCGTAGTCGTCCACGTGTGGGATCGCTAGACGCATTGCTTCGTCCCGTGTCTGAGGTCTGTGCCCTCGCACGTGCGTCGCCCCCTCCGAGCTGCTCATCCCCTCCAGGAGCGCACTGACAAGATAGTCATCGCCCAATTCGCTTTTTATGTGATTTCGCGCAGCGCCTGCGCGTACTCGACAAGCCACTCGCCCTTCATTGCCTTCTGGCGTTAAGCCGGTCAACCAACTTAGGGTCCGTGCGCTGCGTCATGTACTTTGCGTGCAGCATCTCGGCCAACGTGGTGATGCTTTCTTCTTTGGGCGATACTGATTCCGTCCCCGTCGCAAACCAGCGCTTCGCTTCGCTGTCCAAGTGCGATGCACTTTCGTGGTAGATCTGGTCGTCACTCCACTCCACGCCCATCGTCACCGCCTGCCGACGGACTTCAACCGTCACCGACTTGAGCCACATCGTGGCTGGCATCGTTTCATCCAGCCCTTTGAACTTCGCGAGGTACAAGGCCTTCGCTTTCTCGCGCACATTCACCCGCCGTGGCGGATAGTCTCTCTCTCCCGGGGAGACTGCGCCGCTGCCACTGGAGCGACTGGTAGAGCACGACCGGGACCACCACCGTCTCGGCCGCCGCCGCCCCCAGTTCCCGTCGGCTCCACCGCGACCACTCTGTCTTCGCCATCTCGCGGAGCGTCGTCTCCACCCCGTCCTGCTTCCCGTGATCCGCCAACAGTGCTTCGTCCCGCGCTTGGGTTGCCGCCCGTGCCGCATACTGCCGACACACTTCAGCCCTCGCCGTCAAAGGTGAAGCCAACCAAGCTCAGGTTCATCGGCGTGCGTCCCGTCGATGGCCGGATACCGCTCGTCTCCAGCGTCACCACAACACCGCCACCCGTGTCCACAGTCGTCGGTGCTCTTGGCTGCTGCGTCCCCTTGGCCGTTTCCCGCGCAGCGCTCGAAGATCTCTCCTGCGAAGCCCCACGTCGCTGGGCGTGTTCGTTCCGTTCTGTACTCAACGTCATTATCGGATCTCTGGAATTCAAAATACAATCACCTCGGTAAGCATCTCTTTTCGCTCGTCCCCTGGCACGCTTTGCCCGGAATTGCTCATCCGGCACGGTTCCACAGCTAGGTTCCGTTCCCTCTGTGTCCCTCAGCACACAATAGGCCACAGCTAGGTCCATGCTTCTCTCTTGCGAGGGTTCGTTGGCTAACGCCAAGCCCTCAGCAGCCACAGCTAGATTCTGCCCGGAAGGTGCCTGTCCTGACCACCATGTACCTATGTCTAAAACCTGAGAAATGCTTGGTTCAACACTTTTTTCTCAGCCCAAATGTGAGATTTTATTTTGAACGAAATATGTGGCTTGAAAAACAAGCATATTGCTTGGGTTTACCTCAATAATTGCAATAGTTATTGGTAAACCCAAGCAATATGATATAATATGCTGCAGGGTGCGGAGTAATACCCAGCATATATGCATGTTTTACATTTTACTGTAGGAAATTTACCATACAAAATCCAAGTAAAGTTCCAGCAGAAATAGGGTTAAGAATCCGTGCTTCGGCGCCCCTTTCCTTTATTAGTCTTACTTTCTCACCAATCGGGAAAAAATCTCAACTAAGGGTCGAGCGACCAGCCGCACGATCGGTGTCCTCCCTAGGAAGCCCACCGTTGGCTACCTACTTCTACTGAAAGCGCCTTTTTCTACCCTACTGATGTCGCCTCGCCTCCTTGTCTTCTGTCCTCGCTCGCTTGTCGCGTACGTCCGTCCTCCTTGCAATCTTTGAACGTCACTCAACTTCAACTGCTACCTCCTGTCCTCGGTGGAGCCAGCCTTCTGGCTCGCTCCAGCCACCGCACTGCATCTACAACACTTACACGTCACCGAACTCGCCGATGTCGTCCACGCCATCCTCGACAGTCAGGTCGATCACATCGACCGACCGACCGCTCAAGCTCGTCAAATCCCTGTCGTAGGTCATCCTTCTACAATGATCTCAATTTTACGTACTGGTTTCCGGTGTCTTTAGGATCGAAAATGCTCACAGCGTATTCACTAAAATTGACCCCCACACCAGTGATCCAATTCGTAAATGAACCGGCGTCCTTCTTTCTATTCCTCTGTGACGGGGTCACACAACACCTTGCGCTATGGAAGTTGGCTTCCGAGAGTATACAAACTCTCAGTGAGCGGCAGTTCACAGGTCCCCTTTTACCGAAAGGGAGCGAAGTGACCAATTTAAGGTAAGCTGTAAGCTGAGTATATTTATAGGTAGGCTAAGCTTGAGTTCAATATACAAACTATAAACCACCTATAGAAAAGCAATGTCATCAGCCAAAGGTTGGCCTTGGACGACCTTGGTACCTTGTACCAAATATCCGGAAGTGTGACGTGTCACACTTCATGTAACTAGGGGTACACTTAGGACTACGTACCCCGTTACATTCTCCCCCACTTAAATTCGGTTAGCCGACCAATCAGAATGAAGAAGTGTACGTAACATTTTTTTATTCTCAAAGTCGAAATACATCGACTTGGCCGCGCGAGCGCGGCGGGGGCTCACTTCACAGTTAGAGCCTCGAGCAGCAGTTTGAGCGCTTATCTTCTTGGTCTCCACATCGACCGTTACCATGCCTCGTGGTTTTTGCGAAGAGCGGTGCGAAGACACGCTCCAAGGCTGCTGCCGGAAAGGCGCAAGCCAAGAACACTAAGCCTCACGGCAAAGGACTAAGGTGGCCCCCGAGGCGATAGGCTCAACTGGTGACGCGGCTGTATGCAAGCGAACGAGCAAGCGCCGCAGTCGATTCTTCATGTCATTATCAAACCCACTCAGCCACTCGCAAAATAGTTAGGCAGTCATCCACGCCTTTTTGTTGTTGGGGTAGCTGAACCTTAGTTGCTCACCATTTTTTTATATTTTGTCTTAAAAACATGTCCAATGACGAAGGGCTCGCGCATGTCAGAACCATCAGCATTACAAGCGATAGCAACGGTAATTTGGGGATTGCTCTTATTTGCTTCCTCAATATGACGGCTTGGAATGGGCTTGTCGGGGCACATCTTATAAAACAGACCGGTTTAATCGAAAATATACACGTCCGCAATCGGATATATCTTAATTTCACCGCGTAGCCGCTCTAAATGCTCCTGAATTGAAGAAATATCCACCGATCCGCTCTATTCATGAGCTTGAAAGCTCTTAAACCCGTGTCTGCTCTGAAATGACTGTAGCCATCCGTTTAAGAATACTATGCGCTGGTCTTCCGCCGCCTCCATCTTCTCCAGAAGGCGGACCCTTCGCCTTAACCATGTTTCCGTCCAACATGATTTGGCGCGCCTGACACTGGAGTACCCAGTTTGCAAGGGTCTCGTCGAGCTTGGGGAAGTTCAGTGACCTCGATCGTCGAACATGTTGATCTTCGTCCCGGACGTTGAGGTAGCGATCGCTGTCTTTGAGGATCGCCGAGATGGTTCCTTGTACAGGGTGTTTGATAAGAGCAAACTTTTATCCGACACACTCCGCCGTTTCAGCTATTAATAGCTGTAGTTGGGTGAAGCTCGGGATATTTTGTTTCCACGTGCATTTGTTTCTTTTTGTGCACCTGTGTAAGGTTCCCGGCATGTTTCGCTTTTCTTCTCATCGCGAAATTATGAATGTGGCCTTAAATAGCCCGGCAATGAGCTATTTTTGTATTAGAAGCCCAGGTCTCGAAGAGATAGTGCCTCGGAGTCGTACCATCCTCCTTTATCTGATACATTGCTATATATGATGGTGTCGATAGCAACAGCAATTATTAGCTAGGACAGGATGATATGTACCAGTGCAGAACCAACCCCTTTATAGCATGTTTGTATTAATATTAATCAAGCAGTGTTTACAATAGGATACCAAAAGAGTATACTACTGCATGCTCTGCAGCATACCCTGGCTTTATTCAATATCTACTCCTCCTCCTCCCAGTGTAGCATCGTATCGCACAGGTGCATGGCGAACCGCAAGGATACACTGGTACTGCCCCTGAAACACACGCACAACTCCACTTTGAGAAGAGAACGGCTGCGTTGAAATGAGCGCGGAAGAAGCATCTGCGGCACTATTCCACGAAGTGGCTGTCTTAGGCACATTTAAACTCAGTGTAGCAAGAAAAGAAAGTAAAATTGCTGGTAAACAATTAATGTGGATTCGTGATCATAAGATTTACGTTTACTCGCGCGAGTTAATGTGAGTCGAGGGTCAATTCAGATTACCGCTAATGTGAATATTGGTGAAAGATATCAATGCCGTGACTATCATGATGATACATCTAGCTCACTTTCGGTACTGTCGATTTACTCGGGGTACCGTATTGACCCTTTTAATACGAAGGACGTTCCGGATTATCCGTAATTCTTAACATTTGAGGTAACATATGCCGTAAAATCAGTCCAATATATCATGTATCAAGCCCATTCACATGACACGTGGATTAGAAAATGCATAGGATTGGCTGATGCGGGGAGATGCGCACTTCAAAACCCGTCCAAGAAACCGCTAAATGCGCTCTCTCCTCAAACAGTTACGACTTACTAAAGCAACAATACAACAAGGACTATCATTCAACAAAAAGCTTGTTTTTACTCACCTACTCATTCATCTTCACCAGTCTCACCACCAACCTCAAGTCTACGCTTCTCCACGAACCGAATCTTGTGCTGCATCTCGGGCGGTACGGACATGCCGTTTTTCCAGACCTGGTGCCAGACTTCATTGCACGTGAGAGCATCGCCGCGCTGCAGTCTGCATGCTTTGTTACACAAGGTAATACGAACCTTCTTCACTTTCGAGAAAGCCCCGCAGAAGTAGCTTGTTTTCGAAGCTACAGATACCAGGTCCAGCGTATGCGGAGCACACCTTGCAGAGCCATTGACAGCACTTTCTCTCTATTACCTCCTCAGTCTTCTCAAATTTGTGAGCGCACTGATGGAGCGGCTCCGTTACTAGGTCTACCAAGTCGTCGTACCCCGCAAAGTATTCGCTTGTCTGGTTCAGCAAGGTAATATGGACCTTTCTCATGAACATTGCATGCGTTGGCACGGCCCTCCTGCGGCGCCGCATCGTAAGCTTATGAATGATGAACGCATTCACCATGGCAATATCCACTGAACCTGAGAAAAATGCTGTTTTAATATTTTCTCATGCGGATGGCTCGCTGGATCGAGTACCTCTGGAGGAATTAGCTTTAGCAAGTAGGTTGGATCCAAAATGGAAAAAATAAGTAGGTTGGCTAACCTACTTGTAAGTAGGTATAATTAGGAATAAGAAGTTGAGGGTTAGATCAGATATTAAGACGTATTACAAGACGATGAAGCAGCACAACAAAAAGTCATCGATGTGAGTAGGTTTATTAATCTATCTACGATGTCCGAGCGAGTCGCTTGCCCTGTTTGCGGTCGAGTTCTGTCAGCACATAGCCTCAGAAAGCATGTCGG